AAGCACACTCAAACATGCACGGACTCAAAATTGAACGAACAATGAACTCCTTAGCGCCTGTTGTCTCCAAATTGTCCAGCAGAGGGAGGGTTCTTCACACTCAGGAGGAAGGAGGTCCCACAGCTGCCAGCGACAGGACCAGACTTGGGTGTTTTGAGAATTACACTTGCAGTAGTGTAACAGGGCTCCGGGGACCCAGGGAACTTACTCCTCCCCTTCTCACTCTCATTTAATCACCCTCGTGGCCCTTGGCAGAAACTCAATGTGCATTACAAGCATGATGATACCGGACTATTCGCACGAAAGAAAAAGCCCAGATGCAGAGAGGGACAGTCACGTGCCCAAGGCCGCCCCTAGGAAGGAACAGAGCCCAGATTGAACCCACATATGCCGGATCCCAAGGCTAACTTTGTTTGCTAGTGGACGGCGGGGTTGTACAGAAAAGGGTCCAGGAGGTGTTTGACGAAGGATGCGCTCCTGGAGACCCTCTGTTGGGAGGGAGGTGTTGGAGAGGCAGCACCTGCAAGATCCGGGTGACTCACGTAGGGTCTGGGACTGTCTGTTTCCCATTCCGCTCTGGAATACCTCGGACAGGGGATTCTGGCCGACGACCCCAGCACAGGCCACCGGGGGGCGCCCCAGGACATACGCCGCTGCTACTGCCTCTAGCCCAGCCAGCCCAGCTGTAGCTCATCTCCTCCACGCCCCCAACTCTAGCCCAACCCCCGTCGACGCCCCCTTCTACGAAACGAGGCGAGGGACCCAGACCGGGACTGAGAGCCTGAGGGGTGGAGCAGAAAAGGACTCAGGGCTCCCGCTGAGGCCCCACCGAAGGATGCTGGGTAAGTCACTTCACTCGGGGGCTCAGTTTCCACCTCTGTTAAACGGAATAATAAAAAGTGATCTTACAAGTCAGTGTGAGAATTAAATGGGAATATATGGGAAGAGCACACAGGAAGCACTCAATAAAAAAAAAAGTTTTGTTTTTGTTTTTGTTTTCAGACAGAGTCTCGCTCTGTTACCCAGGTTGGAGTGCAGTGGCACTATCTTGGCTCACTGCAACCTCTGCCTCCCGGGTTCAAGCGATTCTCCTGTCTCGCCCTACTGCTCAGCTGGGACTACAGGCGCCCACCACCACGCCCGGCTGATTTTTTTTATTTTTAGTAGAGACAGGGTGTTAGCCAGGATGGTCTCAATCTCCTGACCTCGTGATCCGCCCGCCTCAGCCTCCCAAAGTGCTGGGATTACAGGAGTGAGCCACCACGCCCTGCCCTAATTTTTCGTATTTTAAGTAGAGATGGAGTTTCACCATGTTGGCCAGGCTGGTCTGGAACTCCTGGCCTCAAGTGATCCACCCACCCTGGCGTCCCGATGTGCTGGGATTACAGGTGTGAGCCACCACGCCTGGCCTCATAATTGTTAGATTAACTTTGGAGACCACCCCCAGGGCTCAGTCCTTAAGCCCTTCCTCCATACACACACACACACACACACACACACTCGCACGCGTGCACACACACACAGATCTCACCCAGTCTTAAAATTTTGCTTTCTTTTCTTCCCTTTTTTTTTTTGTTTTTTGTTTGTTTGTTTTGGTTCTCCAGTTCATGGTTTTTAATCAGCAGAACTGTTTGCCTTTGGGACTGGATAATTACTTGTTTTATTGAGCTAGGTATCCTGTGTCTTGTAGAATGTTTAGCAGAGTCCCGGGTCACTACCCTCTAGACGCCAATAGTAACCACCAGTTGTGACAACCAGAAATGTTTCCAAACAACAACAAATGTCCTCTGGTAGGAAAAATCACCCCTGTTTGAAATCACTTCTCTAGTTTTTGGAAAAATATATAAAATATTTATACCAAGGCTTCCCAAATATACATGCCCAACCCAAACCTCTCTTGAATTGGAGAACTCTCTATCCAACTGACATGTCCAATTCCTCTGAACTGAAACTGACATCCTGACATCTCCCACAAAACAACTCCACTCAGCATTCCCCACGTCAGCTGATGGCAGTTCCGTTTTTCCAGATGTTCAAGCCCAAACCTAGAGTTCCCCCACTTCTTTCAAACTTCACGTTTGATCCACCACCAAGACTGACGGCACTGCCTTTGTGAACAGTCACTCCTCCTTGGAATCCAATTGCTCTTGATCGCCTCTAAAGACCCCAGCTTGGTTGAAGCCACCGTCATCTCTCACCTGGATGAATGCAGTCACCCCCAACTGATCTGCCTAGTCCCATCTTTGCCTCACACAGTCTTTGTTCAACAGAGCACACAAAGTCCTATGGTAATCCTGGCATGGTGGCTCACACCTGTAATCCCAGCACTTTGGGAGGTTGAAGTGGGAGGGTTGTTTGAGACCAGGAGTTCAAGACCAGCCTGGGCAACATGGTAAGACCCCCGTGTCTACAACAAATACAAAAATTAGCTGGGCATGGCGGTATGTGCCTGTGGTCCCAGCTACTCAGGAGGCTGAGGCAGGAGGATCATTTGAGCCCAAGGAGGCAAAGGCTGCAGTGAGCTATGGTTGCACCACTGCACACCAGTCTGAGCAACAAAGCAAGAGCCTGTCTCAAAAAAAAAAAAAAGTTCATATGACAAATCTTGTCCCTCGTCTACTCAGAACTCCCCCATTTCTGTCACAAAAACATCACAAAAAGGCCCTGTGTGAATTTACGTATTTCTTTACTTATTTATCATTTATCATGTCTCCTCCCTAGAGGTAAACTCTGGGAAACTAGGGTTCAAATAGTGCCTGTCTCAAGGCAGATTGCCCAAGAAATATTCGATGAATTAATTAATTTTTTTTTTTTTTTTGACAGAATCTCACTCTGTCCCCCAGGCTGGAGTGCAGTGGCGCAATCTCGGCCCACTGCAACTTCTACCTCCCAGGTTCAAGCAATTCTCCTGCCTCAGCCTCCTGAGTAGCTGGGATTACAGGGGCCTGCCACCACACATGGCTAATTTTTATATTTTTGGTAGAGACAGGGTTTCACCATGTTGGCCAGGCTGATCTCAAACTCCTAATCTCAGGTAATTCACCTGTCTCAGCCTCTCCAAGTGCTGGGATTACAGGCATGGGCCACTGAATTAATATTATTATCTCTAGTAACCTAGATGGAAATGGTCTACAGGCAAATGCTACCCAAAAGGAAGATGATACCACTATTATACCACCACTATATATACAATGATGGTGTATATATATATATATATGTGGTATAATAGCAGTATCATTTTCCTTTAGTGTAGCGTTTTATATGTATAAAATTGCTGACATTGTCATTGCCCGCCTTTTTTTGTTTGTTTGTTTTTGGAACAGGGTCTTGCTCTGTTGCCCAGGCAGGAGTGCAGTGGTATGATCATAACTCACTGCAGCCTCAAACTCCTCAGCTCAAGTGATCCTCCTGTCTCAGCCTCCCAAGTAGCTGGGACTACAGATGTGCACCATCACACCTGGCTAATTTTTTATTTTTTGTGGAAATGGGGTCTCACTGTGTTGCCCAGGCTGGTCTCTAACTCCTGGTCTCAAGCAATCCTCCAGCCTCAGCCTCCCAAAGTGCTGGGATTACAGGTATAAGCCCCCATGCCTGGGGCCCACCTTTTATATTCCCATATCAGGGCCTACTCTACCATCAAGTTCCCTCAGCCAAATACCTGAGCATCACCCTTACCACCTCCCTCCCCTCAGCCCCCACTGCTAGATAGTCGCCCCAATCCTGGCTCTTCCTGTTATCTGGACCTCAGCTTCCCTCCTTCCCAGGGTCCCAACCCCCAGTGATCCCCCACAAGTCACCTCCCTGCCAGCCCTAGATCTGGCCATGTCCTATCCTGATCTGGCTCACACACTCTCCATGGCTCCCTATTGCTCTCAGCATAAAGCCCGTGCATTTGGCCCCTTCCCTCATTCCGCCCCTGCTTCCCAGATCCAACCACCTGGCCCCTGGTGAGCTCCTCAAACACACTCTGCTCTCCCTCAGCTCAGGGCATTTTCAGATGCTGTTCCTTCTGCCTGGAGTATTTGTCCCTCCCCTTGTCACCTACTAAACTTCCACTCCAGCATCGAAGAAGTTCTCCCTGACCTATCCCCATCCCTCTGCTATATTCATCCAGCACCCGGGGCCTCGCCTTTGGAGCACCTGTCCTGGGTTGTAAATAAACCTTTACACGTGGAATTATTTGTTCAACATCTGTCCCCCACCCCCTGAGAAGGCAGAAATCAGGGCCTGCCTGTGGTTCTGAAGCAGTGCCAGCAAACAATATGTGATCTGTTGATGAAATAAATGAACACACAAACTGACCCCCAAAATCTGAGTTTATGTCCTAGGACAAATGGCTTTCCAGCCTCCTAGCCCGCAGCTTCGCTCAGTTGGTAGAGCCCCTCATTCCCATGCTGGGGGCTCCACGTGTAAGAGTCTGGCTGAGTTAGGGGGTGGAGGGTGGGGTAGGCCTGCATCCTTTGCTTTTATTCTACAAAAACAGAACACTCAGCAAAGGGTCTTTGGGCAAGGGAGGAAGGAAGGGGCTTACAGGGGTCTGAGTTTACAAAACAACAACAAAAGTAAGCAGCCTCGAGCCCTATGATCCAGCCTCACGCCTCAGCAGTCTGCCCACATGAGTTGAGGGCCTCAGGTGGGTGATATCCGGGTTAAAAGCTCCAGATTTCCTCAATTTGGAAGCCTGCCAGGGGTTCTGCCAGTAGGGGGTGAGCCCTGAGTCAGAGGTGGGGCTTAGGTCCTCTGAAGGCTCAGTGGGCAAGTCCTGGAGACCTGGCTCTGCAGGGGCGTGGCCTGAGGCCCTCAAGCCGCAGGATCCTGGGGGCGGGGCCTGAGCCCAAGTGGGCAGGGCCGAGCCAGGTCCCTCAAACAGGACAGGTGTGAGAACTCAGGGGGCGGGACCTAAGCCTCAAGGGGCGGGATCAGACTCCCTAAGGGGCGGAGCCTTGCCTTGAGGGGCGTGGCCAGCACCATCAGGCTGCTCAACAGCGGTGCCTGGTCATCCAGGAGCTGAACCTGAACTTCGAGGGGAGTGGCCTATTCCCTCGGGATCTTTGGGGCGAGTCCTGGTCCTTCGGGGGCGTGGCCTCGGCCCGTCTGGGAGGGGCCTGGACTCCTGGGATCCGCAGGGATCGCGCCCACGCTCAGGCCCGCGGAGGCAGGGGCTCCACCTTGAGCCAGATCCCACTCTCCGTGCGCAGGATGAGCTCCGGCTTCCGCCGCACCTTGCGCGTTCGGTCCACACTCAGGCGGAAACGTAGCAGTGTTAGTGCCACAACCACGCGCATCTCGGCCATGGCGAAGCTCTGTCCGATGCAGTTCCTGGAGGAAGAGAGGACAGGGCTCAGGCCCAGCTTCTGTGTGAGCACTGGTCCCTGGGCGTCACATGCCTCCTTCGAAAATGAAGCAAGCATCCTGGGCTGGGTGAGGGTTAAAGTGAAACTCCACGCTGGGTGAGGGTTAAAGTGAGACCCCACGAATCGCTCAATTAATGTGACCTTGGGGTTGAGTGTCTGAATCCCGGTGCAGCCTCTTACTAGCTGTGTGTCCTGGATACATGGCGCCCCCTCTGAGTCTCAGTTCCTTCATCTGTAAAAACGGGGACAAAGGCATCATAGAGCCAATGGGAGCGTGGGAGCCCAGAACTCAGGGCCTGACACACTGTCGGTGCTCAATACCCAGGATGCTATTGCAGAGTCTGATTTGGGGGCCTCCTGGCGCACTGGGGAGAGGGTGCCGGGTTTTCAGAAAGGACGCCTGGGTGCCATCTGGTCTCTGCTCCTGAGAGGCACATTCCTGATCTTTCCCTGCCTCTGTTCGTCCACAGCTGGCTTGGAATGGGGGAAATAGAGGGGTTACCTGGGTCCTGCAGAGAAGGGCACGTAGGCCAGTGGAGAGCGCTGCTGTGGGTTGTCCGGGTCAAAGCGGTAGGGGTTGTACACCTGGGGAGGAACAGCCTGGAGATGAGTCTGGGGGCTGCCCGAGACATCCCAGCCTGGCCCCCTTCCCTGAGCCTCTGGGGGTCAGTAAAGATGGATGGAGAGCACCTCAGGGCTACCTCTTCCATTCCAACTTGCACTTCCTGCAATGCAGCCACACCTGCCTCCTTCTGTTGTTCACACGCACCAGTGAGATTCCACCTCAGGGCCTTTGCACTTGCTATTTCCTCTGCCTAGAACAGGTTTCTCCCTGATCCTTCATCCCCTGGGGTCTCAGCTCAAACATCTCCTCAGCAAGCCCTTTCATAACCACTCGAGCTAAAGTGCCCCATCCACTCGTTTTTATCTCTTTTTTTTTTATTTATTTATTTGTCTGTCTTTGTTTCTCTTTGTTTGCTTGTTTGTTAGAGTCAGAGTCTCACTCAGGCTGGAGTGCAGAAGCAGGATCATAGCTCATTGCAGGCTGGGCGCGGTGGCTCACGCTTGTAATCCCAGCACTTTGGGAGGCCAAGGCAGATGCTTCATCTCAGCTCAGGGGTTCAAGACCAGCCTGGCCAACATGGTGAAACCCCGTCTCTACTAAAAATACAAAAAAAATTAGCCAGGCATGGTGGCACACGCCTGTAATCCCAACTACTCGGGAAGCTGAGGCAGGAGAAGCTCTTGAATCCAGGAGGTAGAGGTTGCAGTGAGCTAAGATCACACCACCGCACGCACTCCAGCCTGGGCAACAAAGCAAGACTCTCTCAAAAAAATAAATAAATAACCATAGCTATTGCAGCTGGGCCCAAGCGATCCTCCTGCCTCAGCCTCCTGAGTGGCTGGCACTGCAGGTGTGCATCACCATGGCTGGCTAACTTTTTTTTTTTTTAGAAATGGGGTCTCACTGTGTTACCCAGGCTAGGCTGAGCTGGAACTTGTGGCCTCAAACAATCTTCCCACCTTGGTCTCCCAAAGCACTGGGATTACAGACACAAGCCACCACATTGGGCCAACTTTTTCCTTTTTGGTAGAGATGGGGGTCTCGCTGTGTTGCCCAGGCTGGCCTCAAACTCCTGGGCCCGAGCAATCCTCCCACCTCAGCCTCCCAAAGTGCTGGGATTACAAGCGTGAACCACTGCGCCTGTAAACCGGAACTGGCCCAGTTTTTCTTTCTTTTGTGCATGTATCAATACCCAAAATCTTATTTATTTGATTATTATCTTCCCCAAAACTTCACTGTGAGCCCCGTGAAGACAAAAACAGTATCATCCTCTATTTTCAGAGCCCAGCACACACTCTGGCACACAGTAGGTGCTCAATAAATATTTTCTGCCCTAATGCATTAACAATGAGCGGGTGAATAAATGGCTAAATGCGGAGTGGTGAGGAGTGTGTGCACTCAGGCCCTGCAACCGGCCCTGCTCTCTGGCTCCCTGGGGCGCAGGGGAGGGGAGGACCTGAAGGCAGGGAGGATTGGGGCAGGCACTCACCTTGGAGTCAGGCCACACTGTGGGGTTGTGGTGGGTTCCATAGATGCTGACCAAACAGATGATTCCTATGGGGAAAGATGGGATCAGTGGGGCCAAGGGGAGCCAGGGCCTCCTCCAGAAACATCCCCCCCACCTTAGGTCTCCCTAGAGCCATGATGTTCCCATGAGCCATCTGCCACCACCTTCTGTCCATCCTCCTCTAAAAAATTCTGCTGCCACTTTGGGAGGCTGAGACAGGCAGATCACAAGGTCAGGAGATCGAGACCATCCTGGCTAACACGGTGAAACCCCGTCTCTACTAAAAAATACAAAAAGCTAGCCGGGCGAGGTGGCGGGCGCCTGTAGTCCCAGCTACTCGGGAGGCTGAGGCAGGAGAATGGCGTGAACCCGGGAGGCGGAGCTTGCAGTGAGCTGAGATCCGGCCACTGCACTCCAGCCCGGGTGACAGAGCGAGACTCCGTCTCAAAAAAAGAGTGCCCTATACACTCTTCCTGCCTTTCCCTAGGAGAACCCTATCATCTTCTTTCTGGCTGCCACACTGGCCACATTGGGATCTTTCTTACTCGCAGATCTGACATTGCTCTTCAGCTCAAGCACCTACATTGGCTCCCTGCTACCCCCAGGATTGAGTTCAAACGCCATCACCTGTCCAGGCCTTTCACAATCTGCATCCTGAGGCTCTACTCCATAAACATGCTCACTCTTTTACTTCCACACTCCAAGCCTCACCTCCCACATTCCCTCCTCCAGGCAGCCCTCCCTGCATTCCTCCCCATATTTGAGCTACTCCAGCCCCTGTCTCTCCCTTTAGCCCATTCCTGATTCCATATGCCTGGGAACATCTGTGCCCTGCTGTATCTCCCCCAGAATGAGCAATGCTCAAAACCTGAGCCAGGGTCCCCAGTATCCACCAAGACGGGGCTTGGTCTCCAGGGAGTAACTGGCAACTGAATGAAACAGACCCTCCCCAACTGCACCCTCACAGGCCCATCCCTGTGACTCTGCTTCCTTCCTTTCCACCTGGACTAACTGGGCTCTATCTCCCTGCACACACAACTGCGTTTCCTCCAATACCCCAGAAGCAGCAGGCACACAGAGAGCTGCCCCATCTGCAGAGATAGTGCACCTAGGGCAGGCATGGCCAGGCCCCTGTGGACAACAGAGCAGCCACAGCATTGGAGGCAGTGCACCAGCAGCAGGGGGGAACATGGCGGGCACCTTTGGGGATGATGCGCCCGTCTGGGAGCTTGATGTCCTCCGTGCATTGGCGAGAGACAAGAGTGACAGGTGGGTACTGGCGCAGGCTCTCCTTAATGCACATAGTTGTGAAGGGCAGCTGAGTCAGATCGTCCCTGGGGAGAATGGAGATATAACTAGAAGCCGAACCACCAAGACACCACCTCCATGAAACACACACACACACACACACGCACACACATACACACACACTCAGGGGCAGCTGGGCAGGAAACCAGTCTAGGATTTTAGACTTACCCCAACTTCTGACATTTGCAGTTGTCTTATGCACAGGTGGGCAGTACTAATATTTAGTGTTTTGTGTATCTCGGGTCACTGCAACCTCAGCCTCGCAGGTTCAAGCGATTCTCCTGCTTCAGCCTCTTGAGTAGCTGGGATTACAGGCATGCGCCACCACGCCTAGCTAATTTTTGTATTTTTAGTAGAGACGGAGTTTCACCATGTCGGCCAGGCTGGTCTCAAACTCCTGACCTCAGGCAATCCACCCACCTCGGCCTCCCAAAGTGCTGGGATTACAGACATGAGCCTCAGCACCCGGCCAGTACTAATACTTAGGATGCAAAGTATCTGAGCACAGACCACTCAGAATAGCACTAGCACTGGGCCCTCTGCTGGGCCCAGCATTAAGTCTTTAATTGATGAATTATGTGGAGGCCCAGGTGCACCTAGGTGAGGTGCGAGGACAGCCAAGGGGACTCAGGGCAACAGCAATATGTCAGTTTATATGGTCCATTTCTGTACTTAAAAAACTGGTGCAGGATAGGTGCGGTGGCTCTGGCCTGTAACCCCAACGCTTAGGGAGGCCGAGGTGGGCGGATCATCTGAGGTCAGGAGTTCAAGATCAGCCTGGTCAACATCGCGAAACCCCATCTTTACTAAAAAACACAAAAATTAGCTGAGGGTGTGGTGGTGTGCACCTGTAGTCTCAGCTACTGGGGAGGCTGAGGCAAAAGAATTACTTGAACCCAGAAGGCGGACATTGCAGTGAGATGAGATCACACCCCTACTCTCCAGCCTGGGTGACAGAGTGAGACTCTTGTCTTAAAAAAAAAAAAAAAAAAAAAAAAAACTGGTGCAGGCCAGGCATGGTGGCTCATACCTGTAATCCCAGCACTTTGGGAGGCTGAAGCAGGTGAATAACTTGAGCCCAGGAGTTCGTGACCAGCCTGGGCAACAGAGACCCCAACTCTACCAAAAGTTTAAAAATGAGCTGGGCATGATGGCACACACCTGTAGTCCCAACTACTCAGGAGGCTGTAGTGAGCTACGATCATGCCACTGTACTCCAGCCTGGGCCACAGAGCGAGAGCCTATCTAAAAAGAAAGAAAGAAGGAAAGAAGGAAAAGAAAGAAGGAAGGAAGGAAGGAAGGAAGGAAGGAAGGAAGGAAAGAAGGAAGGAAGGAAGGAAGGAAGGAAGGAAGGAAGGAAGGAAGGAAGGAAGGAAGGAAGGAAGGAAGGAGGGAAGGAAGGAAGGAGGGAAGGAAGGAAGGAAGGGGAGAGAGGAAGGAGAGAAAGAGAGAGAGAAAAGGGCATTATCTCCTTATTATATTATTGACTTAATATTTTTTCCTTTGGACTTTAGGGCCCAAAATTGGGCTAATGATAACTCTTGGTTCATGTTCTAGATTAGATTAGTTTCTTTAAATCAACAGGTTCTCTTTCTTTTTTGGTGGAGTCTTGCTGTTTCGTCCAGGCTGGAGTGCAGTGGCACGATCTCGGCTCCCTGCAACCTCCGCCTCCCAGGTTCAAGCAATTCTCACGCCTCAGCCTCTCAAGCAGCTGGGATTACAAGCACACACCAATACACCCGGCTAATTTTTGTATTTGTAGTAGCGACAGGGTTTCACCATGTTGCCCAGGTTGGTCTTGAATTTCTGGCCTCAAGTGATCCACCCACCTCGGCCTCACAAAGTGCTGGGATTACAGGCATGAGCCACCTCACCCAACCCAGGTTCTCTTTCAAAGAAATTTCATGGCTGGGCACAGTCGCTCACGCCTATAATCTCAGCACTTTGCGAGGCCAAAGTAAGAGGATCACTTGCACTCAGGGATTTGAGACCAGCCTGGGCAATACAGCGAGTCCCCATCTCTAAAAAAAAAAACTTCAAAAATTAGCCAGTTGTGGTGGCACACACCTGTGATCCCACCTACTCAGGAGGCTGAGGCAGGAGGATTGCCCGACCCCAGGAGTTTGAGGCTGCATTGAGTGGTGATTGTGCCACTGCACTCCAGCCTGTCTCAAAAAAAATAAACTTCATCTTGCTATAAAGGGCGAACAGCTTCCCTGGCATAAAGGTATTCATCCATACAAACACCACTGTGAAAGCAGTAGCATGTTATTAAATTGTGGCTATACACCAACTCCTGCTCAACTCTCTAAACCTGAGACATCTTCTCCCTTTGTTAAAAAGGAAGATTAGCAAAGCGTTCAGGATACAGTTGCACCCCACTGAGCATGTACCCCTGAGGCCATAATGTAAAAGGTTGAAATAGAACCTAAAGGAACCTTCTCACTATGTGAGTTGATGCTATTTAATGCTGTGGCTTTGTTTTTTTTTTGTTTTTTTTTTTTTTTTTTTTTTTTTTTTTTTTGAGACAGGGTCTCACTCTGTCACCCAGGCTGGAGTGCATGGCATAATCTTGACTCACCACAGCCTCCACCTCCTGGCTTCAAGCAATCCTCCCACCTCAGCCTCCCAAGTAGCTGGGACTACAGGCATGCACCACCCCGCCCAGCTAATTTTTGTTTGTTTTTTTTTTTGTAGAGACGGGGTTTTGTCATGTTGCCCAGGCTGGTCTCAAATACCTCAGCTCAAGCAATCCACCCCCATTGGCCTCCCAAAGTACTTGGATTACAGGTATGAGCCACCGCGCCCAGTCTAACGCTGTGTTTTCTTTTCATCACCCAGAATCAGCTCGACATAGCATAAATCTGATAGAGACTGGGTTATTTGTTCTGATTCTCCACTTCCTCCCTGAATTAGAACTATATACCTGTACCCTTTGTCGTATGATTCTGCAGTGCCTTCTGCTCAGGTGAGTGGAGTATATATATGTCCTGCCCCATTCATGCTGGGCTTGGTCACATGACTTGTTAGCCAACGCAATGCTCTAGCGCCAGCAGAGCTTTTATTTTTATTTTATTTATTTATTTATTTACTTCTTTTTTTTTTTTTTTTTTTTTTGAGACAGAGTTTCACTCTTGTAGCCCAGGCTAGAGTGCAGTGCAACCTCAGCAATGTCCACCTCCCAGGTTCAAGTGATTCTCCTGTATCTTCCTACCGAGTAGGGGGGATTACAGGCACCCGCCACCATGTCTGGCTAATTTTTGTATTTTTAGTAGAGATGGGGTTTCACCATGTTGGTCAGGTTGATCTCGAACTCCTGACCTCAGGTGATCCACCCACCTCGGCCTCCCAAAGTGCTGGGATTACAGGCGTGAGCCACCTCGCCCGGCCCAAGCAAAGCTTTTAAATTTCGTGACTTTTTGTGCTTCTGGAATCTGCCTTGAGAAGAGCACGACCCAGGGTAGCCTCTGGTCCAAAGAGAACAGAGAGGAAGTATATGAAGCAGATCTGAACCCAGCTCTTAGTTTGGAAGCAACTCCACTCCACTTAGCCAAGAGCAGCAGCAACTAGAGTAATGAGCAGACAAGAGCAAGAAATATGTGCATACAAAAGCAATAAATAACTGCTGGCTGTAAACCACTAAGTTTGGGAGCTGTTTGTTATGCAGCATTATTTCAATAACTGCTGACCAGGACACTTTGAGAATTTCTGCATTATGAGGCAGGCATAGGCACTATCACCACGCCCATTTTATAGTTGAAGAAATTGCAATTCAGGAAGCTAAAGTGGCTTGTCTGAGGTCACACCATCAGTAAGTGGGAGAGAAGAGGCTTACACCCAAGGTTCTGGCCTCAACCTGCCCCCTCCATTCCCCTGAGCTCACACTCACCACTCCAGCTCCTCCAGCTCCCGGCCTTTCATGACTTCCTGAATCTCTTCCCGGCATTTCTCCTGGTATTCTGGATACTTTGCCAAATTGAACAGCACCCAAGAGAGCCCACTGGATGTTGTGTCGTGACCTGCAGGTGGATGACGGTATCTGAATGGAGGCTGCCTGAAGAAAGCAGAGATGCTATCTGCAGCCAATGATGCCCCTTCCTGCCCTCCTCCAGCCTCACCCCACATCCTCACCCTCAAACATGAAGGTGTCTGCCTCAGCTCGGATATCCTCGTCTGACAGTTCCTTTCCATCTTCATCCTGGAATGGGCAGTAGAGGGTGCTCAGCCCACTTCATCCCACCCTCTGCATCCTAGGGGTTCCTCAAAACTCAGATATCTCCCCCCATCTTTTTTTTGTTGTTGTTGAGACAGAGTCTCACTCTATCACCCAGGCTGGAGTGCAGTGGCGCAATCTTGGCTTACTGCAGCCTCCGACTCTCAGGTTCAAGTGATTCTCGTGCCTCAGCCTCCCGAGTAGCTGGGATTACAGGCACATGCCACCACTCACAGTTAATTTTTATATTTTTAGTAGAGATGGAGTTTCGCCATATTGGCCAGGCTGGTCTCGAACTCCTGGCCTCAAGTGATCCACCTGCCTCATCCTCCCAAAATTCTGGGATTACAGGCGTGAGCTACCACACCTGGTTTCCCTCTTTCTCTCTCTTAAGCCAAGCTGTGGGGGGAATTATTCCAGGAAGATGGAAATATGCAACTTGTCTAATAAAGATGGAAAGTGCCCAGCCTGGTGGCTCACGCCTGTAATCCCAACACTTTGGGCGGCCAAGTTGGGAAGATCTCTTGAGCCTAGGAGTTCAAGACCAGCCTGGGCAACATAGTGAGACCCCATTTCTACAAAAAAATAATTAGCCAGGCGTGGTGATGCATGCCTGTAGTCCCAGCTACTGGTGAAGCTGAGACAGGAGGATTAAGCCCAGGAGGTCAAGGCTCCAGTGAACCATGACTGCATCACTGCACTCCAGCCTGGGTGACAGAGCAAGACCCTGGGTGAGAGATGCTGGTGAGGCTGTGGAGGAATAGGAACACTTTTACACTGTTGATGGGAATGTAAATTAGTTCAACCATTGTGGAAGACAGTGTGGCAATTCCTCAAAGACCACTTGACCCAGCAATCCCATTCCTGGGTATATAACCAAAGGAATATAAATCATTCTATTATAAAGATACATGCACACGTATGTTCATTGCAGCACTATTCGCAATAACAAAGACAGGAATCAACCCAAATGCCCATCGATGAAAGACTGGATAAAGAAAATGTGGTACATATATACCATGGAATATTATTATACAGCCATAAAAAGGAACAAGATTATGTCCTTTGCAAGGACCTGAATGGAGCTGGAAGCCATCATCCTTAGCAATCTAAGGCAGGAACAGAAAACCAAACACCACATGTTCCCACTTATAAGTGGGAGCTGAACAATGAAAAAACACGGACGCAGGGAGGGAAACAACACACATTTGGGTCCTATCAGGGCGGCAGTAGGAGGGAGAATATCAGGATAAATAGCAAATGCATGCAGAGCTTAATACCTAGGTGATGAGTTGATAGGTGCAGCAAACCACCATGGCACATGTTTGCCTAGGTAACAAACCTGCACGCCCAACACATGTCTCCTTGAACTTTAAATTTAATTTAATTAGGCCGGGCGCGGTGGCTCACGCCTGTAATCCCAGCACTTTGGGAGGCCGAGGCGGGCGGATCACAAGGTCAGGAGATCGAGACCACGGTGAAACCCCGTCTCTACTAAAAATACAAAAAATTAGCCGGGCGCGGTTGTGGGCGCCTGTAGTCCCAGCTACTCGGGAGGCTGAGGCAGGAGAATGGCGTGAACCCGGGAGGCGGAGCTTGCAGTGAGCCAAGATCGCGCCACTGCACTCCAGCCTGGGCGGCAGAGCGAGACTCCGTCTCAAAAAAAAAAAAAAAAAAAAAAAAAAAAAAAAAAAAAATTTAATTTAATTAAAAAAATATTTTTTTGAGACAGAGTTTTTCTCTTGTTCCCAGGCTGGAGTGCAGTAGCACAATCTTGGCTCACTACAACCTCTGCCTCCCAGGTTCAAGCGATTCTTCTGCCTCAGCCTCCAGAGGAGCTGGGATTACAAGCGCATGCCACCACGCCCGGCTAATTTTTTTTTCTCTTTTTAGTAGAGACGGTGTTTCAACATGTTGGCCAGGCTGGTCTCGAACTCCTGACCTCAGGTGATCCTCCCGCCTCAGCTTCCCAAAGTGCTGGGATTACAGGCATGAGCCACTGCGCCCAGCTTATCCTAGAACTTTAAATTAAATTTTTAAAAAACAAGAAAAAAGAAAAGAAAGATGGAAAGAGGGACAGAAAGTCAACAGTGAGGAGAAGAAGGGAGTTCCTATTTCTTGAGCAGCCTCTAACACCAAACATCCCACTGGATGCCTGACAACCTTGTGATCAGGTTTTATGATCACCATGGTATAAAAGGAGAAACTGAGGCTCGGGAAGACAAGTCATATGACTAAGGTCAAACATCCACTAAGCGACAGAGCCAGGACTGGAATCCAGGACTATTTGAATCCAGAACCCAAAAGGTCCACAGACACACCAGTGAGTGACCATACAAGTGTCTCATCTCTTCAAGGTCATGTCCCTTCCTCCCTCCCTCCCTCCCTCCCTCCCTCCTTCCCTTCCTTCCTTCCTTCACCAGTGAGTGACCATACAAGTGTCTCATCTCTTCAAGGTCATGTCCCTCCCTCCCTCCCTCCCTCCCTCCCTCCCTTCCTTCCTTCTTGACGGAGTTTCACTCTTGCAGACCAGGTTGGAGTGCAATGGCATGAGCTCAGCTCACCGCAACCTCCAGCTCCCAGGTTCAAGCGATTTTCTTGCCTCAGCCTCCCAAGTAGCTGGGATTACAGGTGTGCACCACCACACCTGGCTAATTTTGTATTTTTAGTAGAGACGGGGTTTCTCCATGTTGGTCAGGCTGGTCTGGAACTCCCGACCTCAGGTGATCCGCCCACCTCAGCCTCCCAAAGTGCTGGGATTACAGGTGTGAGCCACCGCACCCGGCCCAAGGTCATATATTTCATTTTTGCAATTTTGATGAGCTGAATGGTGCCCTGCCCACTCCTACCCCCACCCCCACCCCCACCCCGCCCCACCGCTAGAATTCATAAGTCCTAACTTCCAGTACCTCAGACTATGACCATGTTTGGAGAGAGGTCTTTGCAGAAGTAATCAAGACAAAATGAACTCATTAGGGCAGGGCCCTAATCCAATGTGACTGGTGTCCTTATACAAAGAGAAGAAGACAGAGACAGGCACAGAGAGAAGATGATCCGCAGACATAGGGAGAAGACAGCCTTCTGCAAGCCAGGGAGCAAGGCCTGGATCAGATTCATCCTTCATGGCCCTTAGAAGAAACCAGCCCTGCAGATACCTTGATCTTGGACTTCTAGCTTCCAGAACTGTGAGAGAATAAATTGTTGATGTTTAGGCTATTTAGTTTGTGATACTTTGTAATAGCAGCCCAAGAAAACTCACCCAGTGAGTCTTACATGTTCTGACCCCATCCCAGACCCATGTGAATTTTTTTTTTGTTTTGCTTGTGTGTGTTGTTTTGTTTTGTTTTGTTCTGAGACAGAGTCTCGCTCTGTTGCCCAGGCTGGAGTGCAGTGGCACCATCATAGCTCACTGCAGCTTCCAACTCCTGGGCTCAAGCCACACTCCTGCTTCAGCCTCCCAAGTAGCTGGGACCGTAGGCATGCAGCACCACACCCAACTTATTGATTTTTTGTAGAGACAGGGTCTCCCTGTGTTGCCAGGCTGATCTCCAATTCCAGGGCTCAAGCAATCCTCCCTCCTCGGCCTCCCAAAGTGCTAGCATTACACATGTGAGCCACAACGCCTAATGGAGTTCTAACATTTATCATTTTATACGCAATTCCTAGAGAGGCCATCGAGGGCAGGGCTCCACCCTCCAGGGCCCAGCCTCACCCTGGCCAGGAGCAGCACATCAATGAAGTCCAAGGTCTTCCCCTGCTTGGACTTAAGCCAGGCCTCGGCCCCCTGCTGACGCAGTGCCCGCCGCCGTTCCTGGATAACTTCAGTGGTGAAGTGGTGTACCATGTCACAGGCCTGCCGGAACCTCCGCCCATCCGCCGAGCGATAGTAAATGAAGTCGAGGTAATGGTGCAAGCGATATTGACGCCGGACAGCCAGAGCACTCAGTTCAATGATAGCGGAGATATAATCACTCATCTTCCTGCCAGGGAGAAAGGAAGCCATGAGTGTAGCCCCTTCCCCCAGCACAGCCCAGCCATGGCTTGGCTAAGACCCATGGCTAAGACCCATGGCTTGGCTAAGATAAGCCTTCACTCCCCATTGAGTAGATAACAAAGAGAAACCCTATATTAACTCTATTTTTATTTCATTTATTTAGTTTTTAGATAGGGTCTTGCTCTGTCACCTAGGCTGCAGTACAGCGGCATAATCATAGCCCACCACAGCCTCGAACTCATGAGCTCAAGCGATCCTCCAGCCTCGGCCTCCCAAAGTGCTGGGTTACAGGCCTGAGCCACCACACTCGGTCCCATATATATTTTTAAACAGGCCCAAAGAGGGATAAGGACTTTCAACATAGGCATAGTCATTGTAGCATCACTAAAGCTAAATGGCTACACTCCTCAGCATGGGAGAAAATATTTGCAAATTATATATCTGATAAGGGATTAGTACCTAAAATAAATAAAGAATTCTTAAAACTTATTTTAAAATGGGCAATGGATATGAATAGGCATTTCTCCAAAAAAGACAGAAGTGACCAATGAGAATGTGAAAAGATACTTAACAGCACTGGTCACCAGAGAAATGCAAATCAAAGCCACGATGAGATACTACTTCACCCCACTAAGATGACTAAAATCAAAACTTATAGTAACAAGTGTTGGGCTGCACTCCAGCCTGAGCAACAGAGCAATACCCTATCTCAAAAGCAAACAAACAAAACAACAACAACAACAACAAGCAAGTGTTAGTGAGTATGTGGAGAAACTGGAGCTCTCACACTCACTGGTTGGAAGAGCAAAATGGTACAACCACTTTGTACCATGTTGAAACCCACTGAAATAATGTTTAGCAGTTCCTCAAAACGTTTAAATTGGAATTACCATATGACCCAGCAATTCTGCTCCTAGGTATATAGCCAAGATAATTAAAAATACATGTTCACACAAAAGTTTGTGCATGAATGTTAATAGCAGCATTATTCATAGTAGTCAAAAAGTGGAAACAATGTCTATCGATGGATGACTGGATAAACAAAATGTGGTATTATGTGGTAAATGGAATATTATTCATCAATGAAAAGAAATACATAACCGATACATGCTACAATATGGATGAGCCTTTAAAACATTATGCTGGGTGAAACAAGCCAGACACAAAAGTCTGTATGATTCCATCTGTGTGAAATATCCGTAATAGGCAAACCTATAGAGACAGAAAGTAGATTGGTGATTGTCTAGACCTGAAGGAGAAAGGAAAGGGCAAGGGTTGCTAAAGTGTATGAAGTTTCTTGGAGTAGGGGGAGGATTGATGAAAATATTCTAAAATTGATTATAGTAATGGTTGCACAACTCTGGATATACTAAAAGCAATTCAGGTGTATTCTTTAAGTGAGTAAATTGTATAGTATGTGAATTGTCTCTCAATAAAGCTTGTATTAAAATAATAATGATAATAATAATGGGTGAAGCATGCTTGCAGGGAGCTGTCCTCAGTCCTGAAGTGGGCTTGTTTTTATGCCCTTATTGCAGTCTGTCGTTTTCTTGTTTGCTTACTTGTTCATGGTTACTGCCTGTCTTCCTACTGAAATGGAAGTTCTAGAGAAGCAACATCTTGTCTTTCTTGTTGACTATGGTGTTCCCAGCACCTAGTTCAGGGCTGGCCCTTACTAGGCACTCAGTAAATATTTCTTGGATTAATT